TGGTTTCGAAACGCGGGTGAGTCTTGTTCGAGGAACATGAGCACTGCAAGTCGCGAGGTGGAGCGAAGTGGTCCTAGTGCTAACTGAATCACAACAACAACACTGCGCATGTCCAAAAACACTCCAATCAAGAAGTATTATTGGATAGTTCTACCCGAAAAACTGCGTTCGAACCGGCACCAATTCTATTGTTGCATCTTGTCTACCTGCAGTCAAAGAAATTTTTCATTTCGAACGTTGCTTTTTCAGCTTTTGGAGTAAGCTGTACAGACCCAAAAAGAAGCTCCGCTATTGGTCCGCCCCGGCTCGGCTCCCCCCACTCCCTTTTTTTTCCTTTGACGAGTCGAGTTTTGCCATGGAAACGGCGATTTTGACAGCAAATTTCTCAAAATTGGCCACCAAATTTTTGACCAGATTTCAACATCAGAATCAGCGTTCAAAGTTCTACTAGTCTGCAAAATCTCATTAAAATCGTATAGAAAACTTCCGAAATGCATAAAGGGCCACACAAATCAAATCTCGAGCCGGCTGAGTCCTGGGTATACTATAAGGCTACTTCGTGCCTAAAAACAGAAGCCTCAAGTTGTTGCACAGGTACAATTACTCCCTATGAGAAAGCCATCATTGATGAGTTGAAGAAAAAAAAGGGGATCCTGTCTGCAGGTTTCTGCTCTCCTTTGACGACCCTGTGCGGTGTCTTCCACATAAAGCATTTCGCCTTTTTCAGGATAAGATAATTAATTCAATTTCAGAGCTGGAACCAGAATCTGAAAAAAATGCATTCGTTTTAAATGTATTTAAACCTATTCTACAAATTCAAAAGCGTACATAGAATGCTCTACCTGGAGCATGCCTGCAAGCACGCTCTAGCTAGCGCATGCTTGCCAAGCATGCACTTACTAGTGCATACATGCCACGCTGCCTGATGCAGGCAACTTCCTATCCCTTATGCACTAAATGTATGCTTCAGTAAGCGTGTACTTGGCATGTATGCACTAGTAAGTGCATGCTTGGCAGGCATGCGCTAGCTAGAGCGTGCTTACAGGCATGCTCCAGGAAGAGCATACAATGCACGCTTTTGGATTTGTAGAATATAAATTCATCAAATCCTAGAAAATTTCAACTGTCTGCTGACCTAATGGTATTTTTGGTTTTGAAATAATATACATTACCGTGGAACTTGTGACATTCCTATTAATGGTTTTATCTTTGATAGATGAACGTTAATACAATCAATGCATGGCCTGTTCACTGCAAAGCAGTGGTGATTGGAAATCTGAAATCTGATTTACACTGCTTACTTTGAAATGAGTGGCTCAATGTTCAGGTGAGGGTTTATAATTCTTGCCTCATTTGTACGTGGGGTAGAATGAGGTAACCACATTTTAGGTCGCACCACAGCCAAATAAGGAAAATTCAACACACTTTCGATTTCAATGCCAGCCTGGCACAGGCTCATTTAAGAGTGCACCTACTTTTTGGCTGAGCGATAGCGAAGTCCGTTACTCGGGTGGGGTTGAAAAGTTTTTTTCTGTCTGTCCGTGTGTGTGTCTGTGTGTCAGCACTACTCCTCCTGAACGGCTGGGCTGATTCGACTGAGATTTTGCAGGGTCATTAGGTATGTCCTTGGCTCGCCACACACCAAAATTCAGCTTTTTAGGTGAATCGGTTTAGTCATACCACCCGAAAAACACTAAAAAAAACGGCAGAAAAAAGCACCTTTTTTGTGACTGTACTTTTTAAACCAAGTTTTACATCGTTTCATATGTTTTCGAGGGTGCTCATGACGAATGTACAATCCATTTTCACCCCCCGACCCTGGTTCGAATCCCGTTAGGGTGGATTCTAATCACAATTTTCATCATGAGCTTTTCATCATATCGGATGTTTCCGGGGGTCCTGATAACGAAAATGACGTCAGTTTGAAATTCAGACCAGGTTCTTGAAGTCCTCATGACCCTGCGCCCTGAAGGGGGCTCTGGGATCGGGGACGTTTAGGGATACGGTAGGGGTTGTACTTGGATCACAACAATTGGATCATATGTCCAGAATGAGTATAAAACTCTGATGTGATGCGGTGCTGTTGTGTATTGTATAGTGCCAAATATACCGTATAGCAATCGCCGGTATGGTCTTTTTTGGCCCGTCCCGTTTATTTTTTGTAAAAAAAATGACGGAGGGACGGGCATATTGTATGATCCCTGCTGTGCGTGCGTCCGTCCGAGGACTTCCCGTGGTCCGATCTTGACCAAATTTGGTATGCAGCCTCCTTGGGTGACCCTAAGAACCGCCCGGTGGCAGCAAATCCGATCCGAGCCCCGGGGGCGCTGCTGCAGGTGCATCATGGTCTACATGGGGTCGAGGAGGATTTCGGCAACGGATACAGCTAGGAGGTCATGTAGGGGTATTTTTGGAATCGGGGCGACGAAACAAAACCAACGGTGCCAGTTTCAAGCCAATCGGAGAAGTTTGGACCCGGGTTCAAATCCCAGTAGGGTATATTTTGGATATTCTTTTTATTCAAATTTTTGCATTGTTTCTGATGTTTTTGAGGGCGCTGATGACGAAAATAACATTTATTTTGACCCCAGACTCAGGTTCAAATCCCGTCAGGGTTAAACATAGGCGAAATTTGCACATTCCCTGATGAACGGGACGGGCCAAAGTTGCCGATGTATATCGCTACTTTTCCTGTTATTTTTAACACTAGAACCGCTGACTTTTTTGTATACCTAGAACCGCGGAAGGGGTCATTTTGACCCCCTATTTTTTCTGCCCGTATTTTTTTAATTTTGCTCATGTTATGGGCCCTTAACGATGTAAAATGATGTATCTGAGATCAACAATGATATTTTGAGTTATATAGGGCCTTAAAAGGCCAAAGGTAGGCAACCCGCATGGCACGAATAACCTGTTTTGCTCCTTTTCTACCATTTTTGGCCCGTCCCTTGTATTTTTTTTGTTAAAAAAATGACGGAGGGACGGAGTATGATCCATGCTGTGCGTCCGTCCGTTCGTTCGTCCGTCTGAGGACTTCCCGTGGTCCGATCTTGACCAAATTTGATATGCAGCCTACTTGGGTGACCCTTCAGAACCGCCCGCTGGCAGCAAATCCGATTCGAGCCCCGGGGGCGCTGCTGCAGGTGCATCATGGTCTACCTTAGGTCGAGGAGGATTTCGGCAACGGATGCAGCTAGAAGAGCATGAAGGGAAATTTTTGAATCGGGGTGACGAGACAAAACCAACGGTGCCAGTTTCAAGCGGATCGGAGAGGTTTGAACCCGGGTTCAAATCCCAGTGGGGTACATTAAGAACATTCCTTTTATTCTAGTTTTTGCATTGTTGTTGATGTGTATGAGGGTGCTGATCTAATTTATGCTGATCTAAAAACATCTAATTTGACCCCAGACTCAGGTTCAAGTCCCGTCCGGATTAAAAATAGGCGAAATTAGTACATTCCTCAATGTACGGGACGGGCCAAAGTTGCCGATGTATATCGCAACTTTTCCTGTTATTCAGTGTAGGGATGGGTACTAAGTGACGTAGATTTTTTACCAGATGATACCTTTACACTTGAAACGTATCTGAAACTATTAGACACATTAAGGTGACACCGTGCTTTTACTGCTGAGTCCAGAAACCAAGCGGTATCCTAACAATAATACAATAATATTAGGGTGGTGGCTGCCGGGCGGGATCGTGAGTGTCGCATGGCAGGCAGTCTGCTCGAAACATCGACAATACCTCGCGGGTACAGCGCGAGCGGCACCGGCCAACAATCCCCTGCCCCGGGTACAGCGCGCACAGAACAGCAACAATGTCTCACGGCTCGGCCGGTGCAAGCCACAGCTCGGTTCGCACCGACATTGGCCAGCTCGCTTAGGTCCATGTATATTATTGGGCTATCTATTTATTTCATACACAGTTATAAAAAAGCCCGAACTACTACCTCGAAGAAAACCAAACGAGTATCATCTGCTTTCATTAACGTTCGTTGAATGAGATTTTTTTATTCTACAGATACCTTACGCGGAACACACGCATCTTGCATACATTTAGGCGTTTGCTCGGCGGGTCGCCTATGCCGTTGGCCAAGTTAGGTCTCCCAGGGCAGTCCATAGCACTCCCAAATGATTCACCACTAAAATTGACGCTTGTGACGCTTTTTTTATTGCCAAAATTCGAACTTCCTGAGTGCAAACAATACAGGGGTCAAAATGACCCCTGCCGCGGTTCTAGGTATATTGTTGTCCTACGCCCACAAAAATGGTCCGACAGAGCCGAAATTTCACCCAAATGTTCTTTTCTGGTATTTATAAAAAGTCAAAAAGCCCCAAATCCGAGAAGAAAAAAATAAGTCAGAAAAATTTATGACGAAAATTAAAAGGGGTCAAATTGACCCCCTCCGCGGTTCTAGTGTTAATACAGTGGTGGAAATGCGTCTCAATGCGGCGCACCAAACCCGATGTTGTGGAAAAGCTGTACGAAGTTGTACCACGACCTGAGAGCCTTCAGGCAGGACCGGCGGTCGAGAACACCGATGCCTACGCCTCGCAGCCGGCCCGCCACGCCGAACGACGACTGCATCATTTGCAGGCGGAAGCGGCGTCCAGAAGGTCGTTCCTGCCAGACATGCAATCCTTGTCATGCGCATCGTCTGCAGCTCATGAACGAACACATTCATGTTCTCCTTTGGTAAATTTGATGACAATTGATAAAGAAACCGTGTCTAATATTTTCACCATTTGAAAATGATGACAGGTTCATCACAAATTCCTGACAATTTCATCGATACTCATATTTTGGTTGCTTACTGGAACGCTAACGGTCTGTTGAGCGCTGATGTTGATGTGACAACAACGTTATCAGTAGCTTTAATGATATTTTCGCAAGAAAACTTTGCCTCGACGTTGTCACGAAGGCGACCAAAACTTTTTCAGTGCAGGGGGATTAACAATCGATGCTAGATTCATCATAATCGGTGCACTCGTCGGCTCGAACCTCTTAAGTTTCAAATGAAATCCAATGCGCACTATTTCACAATTAGTTAGCCAACTGATTGGGTGTTGTAAGCTAAGGGGGACCGAGAATTTCGCCATCCGTGATGCCCACACACTAAATATTTTTGTACAAATTTTGTACTAGACATCACAGCTTTTAGTGCACACGAACTTTTCGTACAAATCTGTACATGATTTTGGACAAATTTGTGCAAAAAAGGCGAAAAATGTGCAGTGTTTTGTACGAAAATGGTACGAAAATTTCGTGTGCACAAAAAACTGTGATGTCTCGTACAAAATTGTACACAACATTTAGTGTGCAAACTCGTGCCGACATGAAATACAGACGTAAAAGTCGCATCGTCTGACGTCCACGTGGCGGCGTGGCGTATTACGTAGGTATGCACCCACCTCTGTCCAGGGTCCGTTGTAGGCGCCGTTGCACACGCCGTTCCGAAGACGGCTCAGAAGGTCGCCAGCCATGCACATGGGAAGCAGCAGAGTCAAAACGTGCGACGCCGTCACGTAAGAGAACAGCTCAGCTTCGTTGCTCAGGACCAGAACCTGGAGTAACATTAAAAAAGGGTAAGAGTAAAGAGTGGGGTAGGCCTCAGGATGCCAGGGCCAGGAAGTTGCAATTTGATGCAGGCAGAAACGAACGTAGTGGGAGTAGGCAAAACGTCACTCCCTTCATGAAGAAAGGTAAGGTTATGGAGTCTATTAGAATGTCATTGAGTGGGGAAAAAAACATTACCCAATTTTAATGTGCCTCAAATATGTTGATTGCTAGTTACGATAAAATTAGGAATCATCACCATAATTATATTAAAGTAGGAAATGAATGATAGCAGACACCAGCGACTCTTCAAAACGTCTACCAACAAATAATGCATTCACACTTTTTACATTAATAGCATAAACATAACATTTGGAAGGTAAGGAAAACCTATGCATGAATGTATAAATACTAAGTGGCGAGAAGAGTGCTCAGAAAATTAGGACGGAGAGAACAAAATAGGGATTCTTTAGAGTTGAGGAATATGGATCATCATTTCGTCATGTTCATTCACATCTGCAGTCACATCTAATTCAGAATCGTCTAACCTGGAAAAAAGGCAGTGCTAATACTAGAAGAAACCAACAGAACTTAAAGGGCATCAGTGGAGAAATTATGTAGGCCGTACAAAAGCCCATGCTTGGAATGAAGTTATACGGCTCCTAGCATGCGTTTGTAAGTGTGCACTTGCCAAACTTGCGTTTGTAAGTATGTACTTGGCCAAGCATTCGTTTGTAAGTGCGCACCTGCAAGCATGCATGTGCTTCGTATACAGGTTTGTAGTGTGCCGAAGGCAGGCCAGAGCCGCAGGCCAAGGAAAGGTGTAAACGCCAGGCGCTGCATCGCAAGACCATTTACAAGCCACGGTCTGGTACACCTATCTAGTACGAACATTGATTCTCGTGAGAAGAAGAGACTGAAACCGTACCTCTATGGTGCACAGGATGGGCATGACGTAGACCATGACGAGGACAGCCGGCAGCGCCGTGAACGCCATCCGCTCCATATCCATCGAAGCCTCCAGTGTAGCTCTCTGGACGACAGCCCACTGATAAGAGGCAGGCCTGTCCTAGTCAGAAAAAGATACCCGTTAACGGCTAATAGCACTGCCTTTCAAGTTGCAGTAAGGGTTAGGGTAATATTTACTAGCACCACGCGCGCACGCAAGACCGTACAGTCTATTCGCACCACCCTATAGTCAAGGAACTGGTACAGATAATGGAGAATGTCATGCTTGTCACCGTCGGGGCGTACTACACGTCTCTTACTATTCGCACCACTTGGAGTGGACAGGGCGGGAAGGGGAGGAGGAGGACTGGAGGTGCGAATACACTGTAAATCCAACGGCAATACTTTTAGTACCTTTTTTGGCGATACAATTGAGTATCGCCCATAAACGGCCTTACGGAAAAGTATTGCCTTCAAAACGGCGATACACAAAAGTATTGCCAAAATTTTGCGATACTTTGGAGTATTGCCACGATTTGGCAATAAACGTCGAACAAATCAAGGGGACAAGACCTTTGTTTAATGCCGTGGTTTTCGCAATACCCAAAAGTATCGCCAAATTTTGGCGATGGCGATACTTCTATCGCCGTTCTGAAGGCAATACTTTTCCGAAAGGCCGTTTATTGTCGATACTCAATTGTATCGACAAAAAATGTCCTCTAGTATCGCCGTTGCATTTGCAGTGTTTCCGGGACGCATTGCACGTAAGGTGCAATATGGCTATCGCATTGCACGTATGGTGCGATATCTCAGCTGCCTTGCACCATACGTGCCACTCCTAGCGTTTAGAATCTCAGTGCGTCCCAATAGTCTGCGATCTCTTAATTGCACTGGAGGTGGCAGGTGCGAATAGTGGATAGGTACTGAGTTGCACCAATGGTGCCAATTTAGTCTTAATGTTTATTCGCACCACTGGTGCGAATTTGGTCTTAATGTGTATTCGCACCTTGGTCCGAATTGTCATTATATTACGGGTAACTGACAAAAAGTCAATATGAGACAGAGTGCAGTTGGGTCGGTGCAAGCAAATCTTTTCAAGCCCCTCCCTGCAATGGTAAATGGAAATCTTTTTTCCTTTTCTTACAAACCTCGACTGCGTGGGAGACTTCTTGGTAGAAAGTGGCGAGCACAGTTGGCATAACGACGAAGCAGGCAATGATTGCGTAAAATCCAACATTAAACGTCGCTGCTACGACCCATTTAAGAGGCCAAGACGCTATCTTGAAAGCAGTTTCGACGTTTTCTTTAGTTTGATCCTATTCGGAAATCATGCCAGAGCACGAAAAGTATACGATCCCTTTTAAGAAGACGATTATCATTAAAACATAACAATAAAACTTGATCGAACTCTAGAAATAAAGTTAACTCTTCAAACTGAAAACACATAGTGAACTCTTCTGACACTACCGTCTAAAGTGGCCATCACTGGGCACCTTACCCTACTATGGCAGGAAAGCTGTAAATTACAGTGCACATGACAAGAACACTCCAATTTGGGAAAAAATGAAACAGGCGCATTAGACTGCACGTCGCTGCACGTGCCGTACCGTTTAGTCCAAAACCAACACTGAATATCTATCGGCGGGACTTCGTGCCGCTGCAGGGGCGTGAATTACGTGTCACGCCAAAAAAAGCGACAGAAAGGTCATGCCAAAAATCGGCTTGACTCAGAAATTCACGCCAAGTTTTGGCGTGAATTTCCTGTCATACCGGTTTTTGGCATGACTTCTCATAAGACGCATAGTATACGCACTAATCCAACACACATTGTACATGAACGCCAGAAGATGATGGCGTGACGCACACGTCACGCCTCGCTAAAGTTTTACCAGGTATACGACTGTTCAATTTTCAGTGAACGAAATGTGTATTCTTTGCAGTGGGAATACGACGAACTCACGATAGCTGATTAAGATACCGTCAACGGGGGTAACTTGGGACACTTTTTCACGTTTTTTAAACGCCAGAGGCAAGATTCTCAACCCAGACCAATGGATCCTAACTATGTTAAAGTTTGACCCTTTTCCAATGATTTCATGCTTGTCTGGTTCATTTCCCTCGATTATGTCGTTTCCCAGCGGTCTCGAAAGAGTGTCCCAAGTTACCCCATGACCAGGGGTAACTTGGGACAGTAGGCAATTAGCTACATTCGCATGCATCTATTGATGTTAATGGATGTAATAAATTTAAGTCACAACATGTAGACCAAGAATTCAGGCCTATGAACCCTTGTAGGGCCGATATTGGGCTATATCTAGGGCTCTACGTGGAACGTCTCTTTTCTACTGGTATTTTCTAGGCATTTTCTGATAATTTCAAAATATGGATTAGCAGAAGACAAAACTGCAGAGCAAGGCATCTCTTTCCATCATCAGCGTAAAATACGAAGTCTAAGTTATGTCAGGGACCGGGTCAGTCAACTCCTAGAAGGCTAGGACTGCTGAAAACATGAGGAAAATACTGTCCCAAGTTACCCCGTAAAATTTCGATTTTTGATAAATTGAAGTCTGGACCGAAGATAGGAAAACTATAACCAACGCCCTTTTGCAAACTTTGTTGTCTGTGTATGATCTAACTACCCAGAAAGACTAATCGGCCAAATCTGCAATTCACTTCTTGCACTAAGGTCAACTTGTCAATGATTGACATATTTTGTCAAAAACCCTATTATGTATTTTCCCGTTTCTCAAATACTAATTGTGATGTTATGCACTCTTCCACCTTTCCGCGCGTGCCCTGAGGCCTCTGAAACAAAACCCTGCCGCGGGTTTGACGCTAGGAACCCCCGTCACTGAATGGCAGCACCAACAAGCTGTACAGGGCAGACTGTCCCAAGTTACCCCTGGTGTCCCAAGTTACCCCCGTTGACGGTAAGTAACAAAATTTGTGATTTTGATCTTAAGTTACAGTATGAACAGATCCCATGATCAGTTTTGCAGCTCGTAAGTCATCCATCCACAAAAGTTTCGCGGAAACATAGTATTATTGACCTTGCGTAGAGCACTACCCCGCACTACCCCTTTTAGCTCTAATTTCCCTTCACAGTGTTAAGAGAAGTTTTCGTTTTAGCCTCTTGGCTCGATCTGCACTGTAAACTGCCATTTCGTCATGCTAAAATCTAATACCTCTGAGATGCTGAGCACTCGCACCAACAAGAGGGCCAGGAGCTGGTCCCACCGCAGTCCATTGTAATTGTCGATAGACGAAGTTATAACAGTGGCCGCACACAGAAGCTGGAACCTTTTCACCACTCTGTTGCAGTGGCGGGCTGTGCGCTCGAGACGAACCTACCGGATTTTAAATATAAACCTTACAGCTCGAGGACTTTGAACATGAAGGTTCTACCACAAGGTAGGTGTTCTCGCCAGACCGTTTATCATGGTAACGGGCTTTGCGATGCTGCGCCAGTTTAGACATTCCACGCGAGGCGTTTGCACGTATACCTAGGCCTAGGGCACACTGCAAATCCAAAGGCAATACTCTTAGTACCCTTTTTGGCGATACAATGGAGTATCGCCAATAAACCGCCTTACGGTAAAGTATTGCCTTCAAAACGGCGATACACAAAAGTACTGCCAAAATTTGACGATACTTCGGAATATTGCCACGATTTGGCACTGAACGTTAAACAAATCAAGGGGGCAAGTCCTTAGTTTAATGCCGAGGTTTTGGCGATACCCAATACCCAAAAGTATCGCCAAATTTTGGCGATACTACTGTGTATCGCCGTTCCGAAGGCAATACTTCTCCGTAAGGCCGTTTGTTGGCGATACTCAATTGTTTCGCCAAAAATTGTACTTAAGTATCGCCTTTGTACTTGCAGTGCGTCGCCTGGCTTTGACGGGCTCTTTTCGACAGATGTCGGCATGCAAATCGAACTGACACTCATCGCTGAAAATCAAATAGTGATACATCTCATTCTCTGAGGGATGAGACAGGACTGTCTCACCGAAAAAGGGTGATACTAAAATGTATCAGTGATACAGTATCACCTAAAAAAAGTCGTACAGAAGCGTACACCGAAGAAGGGTGATACATCCCCAGAAAAACAAGGGCCAATCTCGCTGACGTCTAACATTTTTGTGGTGTTACATTTTTGTTCGACCTTTTTTTCGGGGACATATTTGTGTACTGTACGACCTATTTTTTGGTGATGCATTGGTGGACGACTTATTTTCTGTGATACTTTTTGTATCGCCGCAAATTGTTGAGATGTCTCACTCATTGAATTTCAGTGATCTCATCTGGGCTTGCTTCGCCACGAAAACGCAACCACCATTAACCTATACCTAGGTAGGTTTTCATGTCGGACGAGTAATTTGGATTCGAAGGGACAGATTGAAAGTTAAAGATTTCAGATCGTAGATAAACTTTGGACAGGTTGCTCTTCGAATGCCCGTCGCACCAAAAACACAAAATTGGCGTTTGGCATTTGGCGGACGACCGTCTTTATAAAAATGATAACATTAGTCGATAGCTCACCCGAGACCCTGTGTTCGTGCCCCGCTCGAGCACTGAGGCAATTTGAGCGGCACGGACGAAAACGTCTCTGAGTTCGCGCCAGCGGTAACGGTAGATTAGCTTGGCCTGGATGCACGAGATGCTTCCCACGAGGTACCGCGAGTACGTCCCGTACAGCACTGGCTCCAAGGACAGCTCCCTCGAGATGAAGACGAGTATCACCGCCACCAGCACCATGCTGCCCTAAATCCCAGAACCTCATTAAAGCGTTCCACTCTGAGCCACATATTTTTAGGGGTTCCGACGAAGGAGGACCCCTATTGCCCGGGACGGCTCAGATTCTTATTTTTTTTCCGGTATCCTGTGATTGGAAAATGGATCCCGCCAAATTACTCGTTATCATAATCAAATAAAAATTCCTGAAAATTTCAAAAATTTATCGTGAGAATTTAACGTGAACGACTAAAACATAAATTTGCAACAATCAAGCACCCTTATCCGTTCACATTTTCCAGAAACGTTTCAAAGAGAAAATGTGCCACTCCTCAAAACTAAACCTCCTGCCTCATCAAAGTGACAAGAAATCGTCTGTGTTCTGAGAAAATGGTTAAAACATGAAAAAATAGTCTCCATGGCAACGACACGGTGCCATCGTACCAACTGTCAAAATTTAAAGTCGCTGATAAAAAGAAATAAAAACGCCGTGAAATTCGAAAATGCCAATGCTAACGCATCGCACGGTGTCCCGACATTGGAACATCTTTGAAGTCTGTCAGTAAAAAGTTCGTAGCAGAAAAGACGCAATAAATTA